CAGAAGTCAAAGTGTGCATGTAATAAAAAAGGAACACTTGGAAAGTAAAAACTTCAGTTCTACATCTTTGTTCTATAGAAAATTACATTTGCAACTTAGTCTCATGAAATCCCCCAGGTGCTGCAGGAGTGTCGTGTGTCAAGAGTTCCCGTCAAAAATGAAACATCTCCCATAAATATGGAGGTGTTCGAGTCCTGAGCTACACTTGCGTTAGAAATGCAACAGTTTCCTGGCTTGACCAGAATGAAGTTCAGACCTGTGTGGGGTCCTAACCAGCAGTAAAAAAAAAATCCCAATGGTGTGTTATCATCTGCAAGATTGATATTCTGTGATAATGTGCCTGCATATGTATTTGGTTGTGCTGTATGCTGTACTTTTATTCAAAGACAAGCAAGTCAGGGAAACTTGTTTTCTCACTTTCAGATATGTGTGTTTCAAGTACTCTTCATATCCTGCTTTTGAGTTTGTAGAACACTCATTCTTCTGTCAATAGCTACATGTTGTGCAATGGCCATTTGCTAATGATAATCTTGGTGACACTGCAGCGCTGCATTCTCTTATTTTGGAAAAGCTGTTGATAAAAGCTGGATTTTTCACTTAATTTTGCAGGCAGTTTTTCTGCATTTTATAAATTAGCAGCAGATCTCAGATTAGCAGCTAAGAGATTTGCTTTAGAGCCAGGACAATCTCAACGTGTCTTTTTATATGCTCTTGTGTGAACAGAGGAATAGAACAGGTGAAGCAAGTAAACTGCTGTCTCTGTGGTAGGACATAGGGGAAATCTGTTCTCAGCCATAGTAGAAGCTGTTGAAATAAAGCAGAACTGTGGTTAGTCTCCCAGGAGAAGCAGGAGATTGCTCTGCAACTCGCAGCAGAGGCATAAGGTGATGCATGCGCTAGATGAGACATCGTCTTTATTGACACCCTGTAGAAATGGTGAATGGGTAGACCAGCCAATAGGGAAATGTTAAGACAGTCAGCAAGGAGAGAAGAGGGATATTTAGATTATGGTTTATGCAACTGAACAAAGAGAAGACATTTTTCACTGTCATTCTGAAAATCTCAGCATAGAACAAGCCTTTTAAGCAAGTATTGCTTTAGAGACATGATGGCTAAATGAAGGGAGCAATGCTCAGTGTGACGAGGACTTCCGCAGAGTTCAGAGATTTCCTCCAAATATGCAAGTATGCAGGCAGAGACCAAGTCAGTTACGCTGAATCAGCTGCAAGGGCAGATAATAATTAAATAAATATATAAATTGGAAGAAATCTTGAGTTAAGGAGAGACTCAGGATAGCACAATACACAGAGATAGTTACTGTAGGAAGTGGTGCTGGTGTAGTGAGAGAAAGTGGGATCTGACTCAAAAGCTGTGTGGCCTAGTTCTGAAAGAATGGGGTTGAATGTCCGAGAGAAATTCAGTGTTTCATTGTGACCAAATCTGGTAATGGAAAATAATTTAAAATAACTTTTAGGAAGTAAGGACCAGTACCAAACACATGACACTTCACATAAAATTAGCATTAATTCTGCACGGGCCCTAATCTCATGCTCTGAAGTGCTTCTTTTTCTCCTTAATTTAGTGACGGCCCTTCAGAAATAGGACTGCTTACCACTAAGCCCTTAAACTTTTAAAAAACTTTAAAAGACTTTGTTAAACTGTAAATTTTGAGAGACATCTTAATGAATAAATGACAAGAATAATGAAAACTTCTCCCAGTATCAGAGAAGATGTAGTCCTTCCCCAAATACCTTGCATTTGTCTAGTGAAGTCACCTTTTGCTTTCCTTGCTTTGTAGCATCCGTAAGGAAACAGAGAATAAAAGGCACATTTTAAATATCCAGAGGTAGTCTAGAAAATTCGCCTGGTGGGTGTTTTTTTCTTTTTCCCCTGAATGCTTTGGTTGAGGAAGGGAAGACCAATACGTAATACAGATTGTGTCACAGACATCTGGAAACACTGTTCCCTTGATTCTGAATGCAAATTTTCATACCATGACCCCTTCCCGCACCACTCTTTGGCACACCCCTTGGCAGGCCAATCTCAGCAGGAGCTGCAGAGTCTCTGACTTTCAAGAGGACAAGGCACTGTACCTCTACTGCAGTTACGTTTTGTTTCTTTCTCTCTGATCAGAAATTTGCTTGCTTGTTTTAAGGTATACGTAACACCCATTACATCTGTGAAGACTGAGTGCAGATGAGGTTTTCAGAAAGTAGGTGCCAGTTTAAGACTTGGTTTTCAAATCCAGAAATTCCTCATGTCAAGTGATGTTGCAAACTTTCCAGTTCTAGAGCCTAAAATAATAATAAAAAAATCTCTTTGAGATGAAGAAGGGAGATAAAGAAACAAAACTTATTTGAGCCTTCCTCCTTTCTCTCCCTCTCATTTGGGACCAAGTCCCAAAATGAGAGAGCTCAATATTAATTGTCAACCAAAGAGATGTCCTGGACTTATTAGGCTGTCATTAGCACATGCAAGCCTTTGGAAATTAAGTTAATCTGAGGAGAGAAGAAGCTGTTAGAAAATTTCCTCCAGACAACATGTTGCCTCTTTCTTGCTAAAGAAACTCTAGTTAACTAGTTCTTTTTTTTTTCTCTTTTTTCTTTCTTTTTTTTTTTCCAATATACAGCACCAGGGAAAAATTGGAGTTAAATTTAATGTTGGAACTGATGACATCTCCATTGAAGAGATCAACGCAATCATTAATGATGGAAAATACCACGTAGTACGTTTCACACGGAGTGGTGGTAACGCCACCTTGCAGGTGGACAACTGGCCCATTATTGAACGCTACCCAGCAGGTAAGGACTGCAATGATTGCGAATAAGAGGGTGGGGATGTGTGCAGTTTTGACAATGTTGTTTCTCTTTCAATGCAATGTCAGCTCCTTCAAAGGATTTTAATAGCTAATTAAGTAATTAGAGAGTCCAGAGCAATGCAGTTCATGATGGTGGCATTTCCTAAGAGAATAATAATTAAAAATGCTTAATCTGTTTTACCAAATTCAAGTTATCACTGAAACTGGACATATACAATTATTAAGGCATGTGATAGTCAGTTTTGTTTCTTGTTTTTTTTTATTTTCAATTGATTTTTTTTTAAGGGGGAAAAAAAGGCTTTGACAAAAGCTGCACAGTAAGGTGAATTCCCAAAGGAACTGCAAGTGGAGTGGAAAACATTTGCACAGGAAAATATCAGCTGTTCTTTTAGTTAGAAGAGGCTGTTAAAACATTCTGAAACTTATGAAGTGAACTTATGAAGTATTACAATAGACAAAAGGAAGAAGAGGTATCAGTTCTTACCCAAAAGGGAAAAAAAGCAATCAAATTAAAATGCCTTAGCTTAATAATATCCTTAAGCTTGAACTTCAGGCATTTGATGCTGATTACTTGACCAAGCCCGCTCATATGAATGCAGGCTTTTGTGGATCAGGCTTGCATTTAATTTCATGTAAAAGTTATGCATTAAAGAATGTGTTACTAATTGTATTCATTTTTGAAGGCAGAAAGTTTTTCAGATATGCAGTCCCTTTCTGTTGAATAGGACTACCGAGTTGTTAATGATAAATTATAAATCTGCATGTTACCTGTTACCAGTTGGTATGTTTGTTTATAGTATTAAAACAGAGGCAGCAAATCCAGCGATGTAACTGAAAGCTATTCTGGTTTGCACATTTGCTCTACCTAACTGATACCTCTGATTTATCTGCTTAAAAGTGCAAAACTTTGAGGGGAGAGAGGGAATGAAGAAATGCATAAGCTGTTCCATCTATTGATCATTAGTATTTAGGTGGTTCTTTGCATTTCAGTAGTTGGATATTCACGTGAGAATTAAAAACAAGCAAACCTCCATGGATGCAATATCACCTCTATTTTGAAAACAATTTATAACTTAAAAGAAAAATGAAAATGTATCACAAATGAAACTATATATAGCAAGAGTTGTTTAAAATTTGTGTGCTAATATGTTATGAAGGAGTGACACTTCTTAAAAGCAGCTAACCCCTTTAAATGAGATGCACTTCTCAGAAGCAATAGACTGTTGTGGGTAGTAGCAAGACTGAAGGATTTGAGTCCAGTTATGTTTCAGATATTGCTGTTTCCACGTTATTTCCCCTTTGCTAAAGGAGAAAGCAAGATAAAAATGGATGAAGTTTAAAGCAATTTTTGCATTCATTGGCAAATTGTAGCAGAAAAAGATGGTAGAGACTCTGGAGTCTTGTTTTATGTTCAAGCCTAGTATTGCGGAAAGGAAAAAATGCGGGTTTGGTTTTGTTTATACCCAAATCATGCACAGCACATTAAAGTGTTTTTTGTTTGTTTATTTTTACTTATCTGTACTGTTTGTTCATGTAAACTCAAAGAGGCTGCAACAAGATGGGACTGCACTTGAGTTCTGGAGATGCTGGCACACACCATTTGTTTATACTGGACACAGATTAATGTAAAGAAAGAAAGGAAGGATTTCCTTGGGATGGGATTAATGGAAGGAGGAATCTTTTGGCTGGTTCAGTTTCTTATTTTAAAACTGCAATTGGTCTTTAATTTTCTTTGGGTATTTTGTGTCTCTTTCATACCGTAACATTGCCTTTGAAATCAGTCTTTCCTTTTCACCTCCTTTTTCTCCATGCCTCCAGTAAAACAGTTGCTTTTACTGTTTCTTGCAGTTCTGTAAAGCTTTGCACTCTTTGATTTGAACCCTTTTAAAACTCCTGTTTCTTCATAAGCTTGTATTGACACCTACTTTAGAAAAGTCTCAGGTCAGTCCAGAAGAATGTGCTGCTGTTGAATAGGATAGGAATTGCTCTGAAGACACCCACGATGGTCCCATACTCAAAGCTATCGCTATCTATTCTAGTACAGTTTCTACAAGTGCTCTCTTAAAGGAATTGGGCAGCGGAATCTGGCAAACAGCACTGCATCTGATTTGGAGGTTGCAGGTTTGGGGACTGAGGGTGGAACTCGGCATGGTGATTAACCAGCTAGCTTGCCTATGGACTGCGTTTTTGAAGGAGGACCTTTGTTTTTAGAACAATATGGACAAAATTCTAGCTTGTTTGCATGAGTGAAGCCCCATCCAGTTCCATTTCAGTGCTGGAAAGAACATTGTCTTTGCTTTGCCTAGTTTTCTGAATCTTTCTATCTGTTTTATTTCTTAATATGTCTGTATCACTGTACATATGTGCAGGCTTCTGGTTGTTTATTGAAGAATAAACAAGAATAAGGTTATCGAGTTAATTACTAAATTTGTTATTCTTAAATGCATTTAATTGTTTGATTTGTTTTTTTCTTTTTAAAAAAATCACTTGATTGTCTAAAGCAACCCAAAATATTAGTTCTTCATTTACCTTACAAAGGAAAGATAATACTCTGAATTACACTTTTGGATGAAGTCTCCAACTACAAGACCTATTACCTCTTTTTGATCAGTGTTTCACAATATTGGGTGAGGATTTTGTGAAAGGAAATTCTGATCAAGAGCTCAGGATTTGTCAGTCTTGTTGCCTTTATAGCTTTCACACAGCCCATCTCAGTGCTGCAGATAAGGACGCAAAGGATGGTCTCAAGGCCAGATGCTATTGCTTGCTTGGTAGATCTCTGTGGACACTTGTGTTGGTGTTCTGAGGGAGCATGCTTTTCAGGAGGACTTTAGCACTAACGGTCACAGGAATGCATGGGATTTCTCAGCAGCCCGAGCTTGGTCCTTGGTCTGAGGAGCTGCCCACACAATTCAGTGCTCTGGCCAGGAGTCTCTAGTCTGGTGCAGTATATGGATCGTTCCCTGGCATTTGCTTTACTGGTCATCAGAGAATAGGCACCTTGCAGAAAATATGACAACGAACTTCTGCAGCTTCTTTATATTTTTTTATCCTGAAATTCTTTTATGCTGAAATGACTGTAGAAGCAGGCTGGAATCTAGCATGATTCTCGTATACACGATTGTATAATCTACTAGACTAGAGTCTTGCTTCCTTGTGACTCTTCTGTCTGGGCCAATGCACCTCCAATTAGTATCTGAATGGTGACATGACGGAGTCAAAAGGATTAGAGAGGGGGTAGTCAGTGATGAAAGATAACTATCCTTGTGGAAATGTCTATTAATTCTACACTAAACTTATCTTCAGCATTAAGAAATGGGTGGCTATTTTTCAAAAAGTTAGTTTTAAGTACTTAAATTCTTCTGGATTTCTATCAAATCTTTTTGACTCCAAAAATCCATTCTTCCCATCTCTCTCAGGGAAGCACTGGAGGGATAGGTAAACATACTTCATTTTGTGCCTCTTGATAAAAGTTCATCCTATTTCTCCCCTTCCTTATAGTGTCAGTTGCTGATGTGTATCCCTAAGATTAAGAATAGTGGAAGTTTTTTGGTAGTTGACTAAAATGCCCAGCTCTCAGATTTGGATATTTCATCTTGCTTAACTAAAATCAACTGAATGTTTCTTTACTTAATGACTTGTCCCTCTGCACATTCTTTAAGAACTTTATTTCACATTGGCCTTCTCTTCAGATAGTGGTTTTTCTTTGACTTGATGCAGCATAGTTTGTGATCATAGTAAGTAGGAATGAGGAAACTGCTGACTGTGGTCAAAGCTCCTTATAATGGAGTACTACTGTTTTTCATTTTGGTTCCTTTATAGTTTATTTTCTCTGCTTCAGAAATCAGTTTTTAATTGCTTTCTCTCACTGTTTCTCTGCTGTTGTGACTAAGGGACTTCATTGAAGTTGCATCCACAGCTATTACTGCTGTTGTTGACAGAAGATTAAACTATGGGTGGATGTTATAGATAGCAGCAAGTACTTCTGCAATGTGGAAATTGGCAGCAGAAGCTTTTGGGGCTTGGCATGATAGTGCTTTTGAGTTTGGGGAGTGTTTTCTTTTTTTCCTTTCTTTATCACTTGTTGTTAAAAATCTGAGAACAGTCAGAGTCTTGGGAACTTTCTGTGGGATCTGTGGGCTAAAGACTGTTATGCTGGAGCAGTAAAGGGCCAGAAGAAGGAAGCATCCAATTAGTTTCTCCTCTTGGTGCAAAGGCATTCTGGCAACTAAACTAAGCTTCTGCCATCTTTTCATGGGATACGCATGTTTTACAGTAATAAAGGTGCTAAATATTATATTCTTCTCAGGCTAAATATTATGAGTTCTTCCTATAATTGTGTATTCTGACTGGCCATATACCAGAAGATACTTGTGTCTGCACATTTTGTTTCTCCAGAAGGGAAATACAAAAAAAAAAAAAGCTTGCCCGAGCAATTCATGTAGGTATTTTGCATGCAGACTGTTGCCTTAGAAATAGGCTCCAAATTCAAGTCCCTACAGCCCTATATGAAGAGGTTTAAAGATCTGGCTTTTGGGCATAGGCATAAGTGCCAGGAGAGATTTTGAACGCTTTTGGAGACATTCTCCATAAAGCAATCTTTGAATATTCTAATAAAATGGAAGAGGCCTGTTATCACTACATCCATGAAAAACATGGTCCAGACAGGGTAAGGAACTAGAAAGTAAGTGGTCCATCAGTATTTGCCTTGTCTCTCTTTTGCCTTAGAGTAATTTTTCAACCTCTCTGGCCATTGTTGTTGGGACATGGAGTTTCAGTGTTTTCCATGCTAAAATAATATATGCCTTCTGACCTCTGTGCGTGTGGTTATGTCCATCATCTTTACCTTTTTTCTTACTTGATTCATTATATGGACAGAAGCATATGTCTTGCTTCTGTCTTTCCTGTAACTTTCCTTATTCAGAGTTTTGCTATTTCTATAATCAGTTTTCTCACTTTAAGACAATCTCAATGACAAATACA